GTGTGTCGTGGTGTGTTGTGTGTGTGTGTGTGTGTGTGTCGTGCGTCGCGCGCGTGCGTTGTTGCTGCGTTATTATATCTACGTTATTATATATCTATTACTCTTACTATCTCTTATACAGATATTTATTACTAGGTACTTCTATTAGTATTATATTTTATTTCTATACTCATATACTCATTAATATTACTTTATGCATATTTATTGTATTATGTATTATTATTTATTACTATTTTTACTTACTACTATGCATATTATATTCTTGTCTGTTATATTATGTATTCATTTGAGATTATATCTAATTATTTATACTATATTACTTTTTTTTCTATTCTTATTCGGGTCTGTGGTTTGTGTTGGTGTGCTGATGTGTGTGTCTGTGTGTTGTGTGTTGTGTGTGTGTGTGTGTGTGTGTAGGTATTATATTGCATTTATACATAATACATAGCGTTATACATGCACTGTACCTAATATTTGTTAATTTATGTATGTGTATCGGAGTGAGTGTATATATTTGTGTGCGTGTATATCGTGTGTGTCTTGTGTGTGTGGTCGTGGTGTGTCGGCGTGTAATGTATTGTGTGTGTGGCATCCTCTTACCTTCCTTTCATGAATATCTTCTTTGTTACTATTTTGTCTCTTCCTATTTCTCTTCGGAGACTTCTCTCTTACATTTCTCATTTCGGCTTCTGGATTCTGTCTTGTCTTATCATCGTTTCTCTCCTTCTGCGGATCTACATATTATTTTTTCTCGTATCGTTCGTCTTTTCGTACCTTGTCTTTGATGTATTTTCATCACCTTTCCTCTCCTATTGATCTTTGCTCTATCCTCTCCTATTTCTCTCATCCATCGCCTTTCTTAAACCTCCATTCTCCTTTGGTGTATGCATTTCTGGGACTTTCCTCCTTTCCATTCCCTTCGACCAGTTTCGTTATAATGCTTTTGACCCGATGTCTTTCTCTCCAAAGCTAATCTATTATGATACGAGTTACGCTCATTTTCTAGGTGTCACAATGAATTTCTTCCCATTCAAACGTAAACTAGGTACTGCGTGTTACTCGCCGACTGTGGAACAGGACATTCCAGCGCAACGGTACGAACTTTCAAACATCAAAAAAATAAATAGGGATATTATTGACTGGTTGTTCACATGATGACGTCAATGAATTAAAAATACCTGTGATTTTTGTTGTTCACATGATGACGCCACTCAAAATCAAAATATGTGATTGGTTGTTCACATGATGACGTCAATCAAAATTAAAATATGTGATTGGTTGTTCACACGATGACGTCAATCAAAATCAAAATATATGATTGGTTGATAAAACGATGACGTCAATCAAAATCAAAATCTATAATTGGATGCTCAAACGATGACGTCAATCAGAATTAACATATATGATTGGTTGCTCACATGATGACGTCATTGTGACATGCTCGTTGCTGATTGGTCAATATACTGACAGGTCAGGAAACATGTGGACCAATTAAATAAATGAAGATCCTATGCTTGTAGTTATGAAATTATTTCTTCGAACTAATACAAGTAAAGAATACAAGTCATACAGCCATATTAGCGGGTGAATAAATGAACATTAGTCAGCAAGACGGATGTATATGTCATGTGTGCCGTGAAGTGTGTCATGAAATTAATGATATTTCTGATATATTCACATTCTGATTTATTCGTCTCGTCTCTCCTTTGTTTCGTTTCTTCTTCTTCTTCTTCTCTCTTCTTTTTCTTCTTCTTCTTCTTCTTTTCATCGAATAGCGACAACGAATTCAAAACTTACGACAATTCGATTAAAAAATAAATTCTAAAGACTATGGAAAAAAAGATTCTCAAATACAATCCAGGATTCTATCTTATCTTTATCATTATTATTATTTTATCTTATCTTTATTACTATCATTATTCTATCTTATCTCTATTATTGTTATTATTATTCAATCTTAGCTTTATTATTATTATCATTTCATCTTATCTCTAGTATTATCATTATTCTGTTATCTCTATTATTGTTATTATTATTCTATCTTAGCTTTATTATTATTATCATTCTATCTTAGCTTTATTATTGTCATTCTATCTTATCTATTCTCATCTTGACTAAAAAAAAATGCAAAATCACGCCACACCAGTGCAGAAAAAAATAGAACACTTTTATCGCAGTGGCGGCCCAGATCTTAGCGTGGTATGACAAGTGCATCAGACCTTGACAGACAGGTGGTCATGTAACATAATAATGTATGACTAATTCTCACGTGGCATATCGGTGTGCAATCAGGGTGAGTTCTGCGGCCAGTATGTTGCTGCGAGTATGGACATTTTGCGAAATTTACGAGAAGCGAGATAACGTTTTGGGTTTTCAGACTGCTGCCCAAGATGAGTTTCTCGTGTGGTTTGGGGGGAATGTGTTTGTTTTGAGAATCGTCTGAGTAGGGTCTATTATCTGTCGGATAAGCATGTAAACATATTGCAAATACTAATTGTAG